AGGAGGAGGAGGAGGAGGAGAAGGAGAAGAAGAAGGAGAAGGAGAGGAGGAGGAGGAGGAGGAGGAGGAAGAAGAGGAGGAGGAGGAGGAGGAGGAGGAGGAGGAGGAGGAGGAGGAGGAGGAGGAAGAAGAGGAAGAGGAAGAGGAAGAGGAAGAGGAAGAAGAAGAAGAAGAAGAAGAAGAAGAAGAAGAAGAAGAAGAAGAAGAAGAAGAAGAAGAAGAAGAAGAAGAAGAAGAAAAAGACAAAAAAAATAAGTTTGAGTCCTGGAGGAACTCAGAACTCCCAGAAGCAGGAAAATTGTGGGAACCCTCTGACACTGTATGGAGGCGACTCAGACAAACGAGCGGATGTCACTTCGCTTCCTCCTTGCTGCTTTGGCAGAGTCTCATCTGCTAGTCCAAGCCGGGTCTCCAGAGTCGTTCTGCAAAGCTTCTGTAACTGCCTCGCTTCTCTCCTCCAACTCAAGACGCCCCGCCCCGCCCTGCCCCGCCCTGCCCCTGGGATGCCCGCCCGCCTCCTCCTCACCTCGTGAACCTTTTTGTAGTGCAGTTTGATGGAGCAGAGGGATCGGGCGCTGAAGTCGCAGGCTTCAAATTCGCAGCGATAGGCTGGCTCCTTGCTGTGGGTATCCAAATGCTTCCGTAGATCGATCAGATTCTTACAGCTGTGGACGGAGCATGCCAAGGAAAGTATTTTAAATCCTGGCACAAACCAGAAGATGCAGCTGCCTGTAAGATGGCAGCAATCCGAGGTCATAAAATGCACACTCCCTTCTTTGCGTCCTTCGTCCTAACATTCTGGCTGTTACCCAAAACAGGCCATAGTTGTCTCTTCCTATCACAATGACCCCCGTTTGACTTCACGACAAATCCTCCACAAACCCTCGGGGAACCTCCAAGTGGGACAAGAGTCCCAACAGCCAACCTCACCATAATGTTACCTATCCTGCTGGATCCGACAGGTAGACCATTCGGAGTTGGAGAACTCTGGGAGGTGAACTTCTTAAAGTTGCCACGGTTGAGAAACACTGGTGCTTCCTTTCATATACACTGCGTCAACTCCTAAAATATTTCTCCGGTCTTTTTAGAGGTGCCAACAGAAAGGGAGGGCAGGGGGAGCAGTGCGGCAGCTTGCAAAACCGAAACCGCATTCCATAAATGTTTTTAAAGATAGTTAACTAGGTGACTGAAGTTTCTGCCAGGCAAAATTCTAACTGGAGAAAATGACTGATGATTCTTGGCTATGGAGGTGTCCCGTTGGAGAATATGACTTAGGATACACCCAGGCGGTGGGGTGGGAAACGAGGATCAAGGATGACAATGAATTACGTGTCTCAGAGTTGGCTACACCCAGGTAGTGCCGGACATGTTAACTCCCAATAAATCCTTTTGAAGTTTTGGAAGTCTGGCTCAAGATTCATGGGGGGTAGCCGCTGGAGTGCTGACCTATTGATTTCACCGCTGTAATATATGTCACCCTGAGCAAGGCCTTGATAAAAAGGCCACATTGGGTCTAAAAAAAACCCCAAAGTGCTAGAAACGGTAGCTATTTAACCCAAACATCCTTTGAACTAAACTGGTGGTTTGCCCAATAATTCCACATTTCCTTGGCCAGCAGGAGAGAGGCTTTCTAAATTTCTAAATCTACAAAATTACTTTTGTAATTGGGAGCTAGGCACCGGCTACAATCAAGTCGCCACAATTTGTAAACTCTTAAGGCAGCTGCTTAAGCCACCCATTTCAGTGGCGGAGAATCAGCCGAAGGATTTGGCTGTGGAGAACGCTCTCCTTCCCAGCCCGGTGCCACGTCCCACCTGGCCTCGGGGCTTACCTGTGGTCACAATAGTTGCACTTGTAAGGCCGCTCCTCGCTATGCCTGAAACGGATGTGGTTGCGTAGGGAGGAGGGCAGAGGACACGTCATGTCACAGAGGGGGCACTTGTAGTGGTTGACTGCTCAGGAAAAACGGAAACATGCCCATGTAAAAGAGGTCATTCCCGAAGGGAAAGCTCACCAAGAGGAGAGGAAAGGAAGGGAGGGGGGAAAGCTTTCTCATCATATCTTACCATGGTTCCTCATATGATCTCTCAACAGTCTCTCTGTGGCAAACCTTTTGGAGCAGTGAGAACATTGGAATCGCTGTTCTGTGAAAAGCAGAGGCAGAAACTAAAGGACACGTCTCGTTTGGAGAGAAGGAACCATTTCTCCTTGATTCTACAACACATGGACAGACTTCCTCATCGTTTTAACTAGGAACCAGCATCCTAGACCAAGCCGAGTCCAAAAATGCTGGAGAATTCCTGGAAGCCAGGAACTCAGACGAATTAGCCATCAACAGGCACACAGAGATAAACAACTTCACGTCCCATTTAAGAGAGATAATAAAAAAAAAAATCTAAAAAAGGAAACAGACAGACTTAAAATACTTCCTCACCAGCAGTTAACACTCAGGTGAGCAGAGATGAATATCAAGATTAATACCAGGCCAACAATCAAGCAGGAAACAACGGGCCAAACAAGGAACTACCAAGAAGAGAACAACACTCCCACCAACACTGACAGGACAAGCAACTTGTAAATAAACAGAGAGCAAAGCCGCCTCCCTTTTAGCACTGATGATGTAACCTTGTTGGGTAATGAAATGTCTGCAAGAAAACAGCCAAGGTCAGTGAGCACCGAGGAGCCCACAATGTCCTCTCTTCCAGATGTCTACTCCCTTCTAGAGCTTATAGCTCAAACCTTAACCAGTCCTAAACTCATGTTGGTTAGCAAGCCTGACCCCTTGTACCAGGCTAAACGTGACGATGGAGCTTTAGGTACTCACGTTCTAAAGCCGTCTGACGGCGGATGTGATCAAAGAACTTGGTGTTGTTGGAGAACATGCCACCACAAGTGGGACATGCCACCACCTTCTCCTGGGTGTGGCTGCGCAGATGTTCCCGCAACTTACATCGGCCTTTGAAGGTGCAATCACACTCTGGAACAAAAGAGGACAATGCTTGCGCATTCCAAGGTGGTGCCAGCCAGAACTTGTCCGGCACGTTTTGGTTTGGCAAGGATGATTCCCTTAGAAACTCTGGGATTCTACACGAGGGTTTTTTTATTATTATTATTATGGATTTTGAGGAACTGTTCAATGTTTTTTATCTGCATGAAAAGTAGGGGGAGGATTCTCCTCTCATAAATGGCCTAACAGTCACAAGATGAAATGTTTGAGTGTATTTATTTATTTGCACTGAGGTAAGTAACATTTCACTGGGGAAAAACAAACAGGGATGATAAAATGTGTGAATCATAGAAACAGTATTTATAGATGGTATTAAAAAAAAATGCACAGTGCTTTTCCAATGCAATGTTGTCTATGTATACAGGCAGTCCTCAACTTATGGCCACTATTGGGAAGAGAATTTCCGTTGCTAAGGAAGGTGCTTGATCAGGTTACTGCGAGGACAGTACAACGGCCGTAAGTGTGAGGACCAGTTGTTAAGTAACTTTTCAATGCTGTTGTATCTTCAAATGGACATTAAATAATAGTGTTGAGGGCTACTTGGGGTATTATTCTATAGTGTCCTATATAAGAGCATTTTTCTTCTTTAATTTTGCCTCAAAACAACAGGAAAAGATTGAGCAGTTAACAAAAGAAATAAGCCAGCCAAGGTTTGACATTTCAGAATCAATCCTTACCTTTCCACCCACAGAAGACCATGTGGTTCTCTTTTCCAATCGCCTTGTACTCTGCGCAGAAACTGTGATCCTCCACGTGCCTGTAGAACCACTCAGGGTTATCAAAAGCTCGCTGGTGGGGAAGACAAGAAAAGGAAGGATATATTCTGAGCATGCACCGAGTCTACCAGCAAATAAGTAGACCCATTAAAGGATGTTATTCCCATAAATCAATATTACACTTTCTGAAAGCTTAATAAAGCCCGTCCAGGAGTCATTCAGCAGCTCTGCATACACGTGGACATTTACACACACACACCCCACTCCTTCTTCTTTGTCTCAGGGGCTGCCCCAAAGAAGAGGGAGTCAAGCTATTCTCCAAAGCACCAGAGGACAGGATAAGAAGCAACGGATGGAAACTAACCAAGGAGAGAAGCAACCGAGAACTAAGGAGGAATTTCCTGACAGTTAAAAACAATCAGTGGAACAACTTGCCAACACTGGACACGTTTTTAAGAAGAGATGGGATAACCATTTGTCTGAAATGATGTAGGGTTTCTTGCCTAAGCAGGGGTTGGACTAGAAGACCTTCAAGGTCCCTTCCAACTCCCTATTCCCATTCCATTCTATTCACTTCACCCTGGGGGAGGCTTAATCTTTAAAAACTGGCTAATAATAATCTGTGTCATCCTTAACATGGCTCCGTTCACTAAATTTCTTGTGAGATCATGTCAAGGCATCCAAGCATTTTCCTGCTGGTACACAATTTTACACTTCCCTGGAGGCTTCAACCAGAGACCCAGAACAGGAGGAAAAGGGCGGTGGCTATAATTTCAGAGGTCAGTTTCCAAAGTGAATACAGGTTGTCCTTGACTTACAACAGTTCATTTAGTGGCAGAAGTTACAACGGTACGGAGAAAAAAATGACTTATGAGAGTTTTTCACACTTATGACTGTTGCAGCACCCCCGTGGTTACGTGAACAAAATTCAGATGCTTGGCAGCTGAGTCACATGATGATGGTTGCAGTGTCCCGTGGGTGTCACGTGATTCCCTTTTGCGCCCTTTTGACCAGCGAAGTCCATAGAGAAGCCAGATTCGCTTAACAACCTTGTTACTTACTTAACAGCTGCAGTGGTTCACTTAAGGTCGCAAAATGGGGCAAAGCTCACTTAATAACTGTCTCGCTTAGCAATTGGGCTCAATTGTAGTCTTAAGTTGAGGACCGGCTGTATAAAGGGAACCTAAGTTCAGGAATGTCATACATACATGCTATGGGATTTCCAGAGATTAGCCCTAGGGATATAGTTTATTAAATAGCAAAAAATATTCCAAGTATCTTCCACGGGCAAACTATTTTATACATCCAGAATGATGCTTCTGTAAGTTCAAATTTAAACTGGGTGTGGAGGGCTCTGAAAACATCCCTGCATTGTTTGCAGGATGATTGGAGGGAGAAGTGGACATGTTTGCATAATCTCTTCAATAATTTATGCAATTCGTGTTGGTCTGATAAAGCAATGTACTTAGATCCATCCCGCAGTCATCGCAGCGCGCCAAGAATCTGTCTGAAGCTCAGAAGTTGGACGTGCATCCTTTCACTGTGCAGTGGACACACTCAACACAATACCTGTGGCAGAACTGCCACCTTGAGCATCGGCTTCAATCTCGCTTTGCTAGATGCCAACCCTGCCATAAACTATGGAGGGGAAAGAATTGGTGGAATTCCAGGGAAAGGAGGAAACCAAAATTACTCATCGTGCCATCCTGAGACATCAGCTCATCGCGCCAAGGCCAGAGGTCTGGGAGGGGAAATATCACAGCTTATCATCTAGCCCAGGGGTCGCCAACCTTTTGGACCTCAGGGGCCACCAAATTCGTAATTTTAAATCCTGCAGACCACTGAAATGAATTTTGACTGACGGTGGCTTGCTGACGTCGGTGGGAATGACGGTCCCATATTCCAGAGCTGCAGGAGTCCCAGGACTGGCCCTTTGGTCATCTTGGAGCAGCTGCTCCTCCGCCTGGGTGCACCGGTCTGCCATGGACTGGAGGAGCTGCTCCGGGATGACCAAAGGGCCAGTCTTGTAACTCCTGCAGCTCTGGAATATGGGACCAACTTTCCCACCGACGTCAGCAAGCCACCCCGGGGCGAATTTCCCTCCCCCACCGTTGGTCTTACCTCCCAGTTCCAGCTCACGTGGCTCTACTCAAGGTAAGGTTTGTACTCGGCCAAAGGGTGGGGGCCAGTGGGTGGGCAGGCCATGTGGGCGGTGCAGCCTTGTGTTCCTGCACAGCCTGGATTAATTGCTTTTGGGGGAGTGCTTTGGGGGGGGGGACATTTCCCTGTGGATCACCAAAATTTTCTCACGGACCACTAGCGGTCCCCAGCCCACTGGTTGGCGACCACTGATCTAGCCTATCAGAGCAGGGACAGTTACCAAAATAAATCGTTTGAATGTAATTGGACAACAGACTGATAACAAGGGGGAGGAATGGTGAAAGGGAAGGTTAACTAGGAATTCTTTCTGCACAAAGTTTAGCTCTGGCTTTGTGTACTGTAACCACTCGGTTTTTAGTAAAAGTAATACTGTTCACACAAATGGAGTCGTGAGTCTTTCTTTCTTAAGGATCCAAGTTGGGGCAGGTATGACAATGTCACTGGGAAAGACCGCCCGTTTTCCCATCCCATCTCTCACCTCACAGTATTCCCAAAGGCAGAGGAAGTTCTCTTGGATCTCAGGGATGATGTTCCGGCTCTGAAAATCCAGCTGGCAGGGAGTCAAGTCAGACTGGCTCTGTAAGGCATGCAGTCCCCATTGCTTCAGCTTGGTGTGGTAACAGTGGAAGTAAACATGGCGGACGAGCTCTGCAGGGCTCTCGGGAGAACAGAAGCCACATTCCTGCCAGAGGCAAGAGTATTCTTCTGGGGAGGGAAAAGAGAAGAGTTTATAGAGCAAGCAGGAAGCTCATACCTGCAAAAGACAGACTTACATCACACATTTCCACTTAATAATTGGTCTTGATCACCCTCCCATTTCTGGATGTGGTTTATAAAACAGAAACAATTCTGATTTAACACTGAAGCTTGCAATTAAAAAAGAAGCCAGAGAAAGTAACTTTCTCAACTTTTCTCAACTAACTCCCTCTTTCTTTCTTTCCTTTCTTTCTCTTTTTCCTTTCCTTTCTTTTCTTTACTTCTTTCTTTCGCCGATTCACGCTCTCACTACCTTTTCAAACCCAGTTTAGCTTAATCCTGCCTTCTCTACATGTCCCTTGCCTACAGCAATTGGCCTGCTTCAATTTTGCACTGACATAAGTTAACTATAGTAGCGAAGGAGCTGCCATTTCTCCCTTGCAATTCCAGTGGGAGCTTTGGGCAAACCCCCATGGCTAGCAGGACTATCTGCAATAAGAAAGACCAATAGGCTGGCTGCTGCCTGGCATTGAACCAGAAAGGTAATTTAGAGGAGTATAAGGGTTTCTAATGAAATCAATCCATTCTTTTAACAAGAGGAGGAAGGGAATGCAGAGAAGCATTGTGCCAATTTTCAAAGAGGAATGCCACACAGCTCATATTAAAAGCAAATAAGAGTCACTGTGATGTCCAAGGAGGTCCCAAAAAAAGTCAGGGCGATAGCCCCAACCAGGCGATCAAAGCCCCAACGCCCTTTTGTCTGCATCACAGCTCGATGTCCTGCAAACCCTCCTAGAAGATTCTGCTAAACTGAGAACCAAACCTGCCCGTCATGCTTCTCACCAAGAGAATCCATCTCGTTGTCCTCCTCCTTTCCCTGGAGATGCTGCTGCAGGTGCTTTGAGACGTGTTCGCAAAATTCTTCCATCTTCGAGGCCACAAAGCTGCAGATTTCCCATTCACACTGCAGGACCAAAGTCTCTTTTTCCCCCGTCTTCCCAGGAGGCATGGCCACAACCCTGCAGGGCAATCAGAGAAAAGGTGTGTGTGTGTGTCTCTCTCACACACACACAGACACATCCCGAAGGAGGTCTTCTGTCACTTTCCCTCCAGCCTCGGAAAGGGGTTGATGGGAAGAGCTAGAATTCTGCCCAACGCACCTCCCGACTCCCAATTATCCTGTGGATTTTACAGTCTTTAGAGAAGCATCCTCATCCAATTCTGCAATTCCAAGGATTCGCTGTGAGGAAGCGCTTCAGGCAAGCCGACTGCAATGAATTTCTAGCAAAACCACAACGGCCTTCCTTCGGTCCAAAGGACAGGGCAGGCAAGCAAGGAGAAAAAGTATACGTAAATGCTGATGTGCATATTACAATATATTGCATCTTATGCTATATGATGCTACATATATATTACATATAGTTATACATTCTATAGACATACTATGTATAGTTTAGACAATATTTACACACACACACAATACTATATACATGTATGTGTGTGATTTTATACATATGTATATGGATGGATGGATGGATAGATAGATAGATAGATAGATAGATAGATAGAT